GTGCGGGGTGCGGGGTGCGGGGGGACTGTGTGCGCAACTTCGTGTGGATGACTTTTTATAGATCCCTTGGACTATCGTAAACTGTCTAAGTGTGAAAATAGGTTCTTCAACATTGGTATGAACGTCTAGAATGTGTCACTTCAAGCAAAGACCACTGATCAAGTCCTCGACAACGCCGTAACGGTCTGAACCCTAATTTGTGCCTCAGACGCCTGGTAAAGCCCGTTGTGGAGGGTGGGGGAGTGCAGTGTGTGCGCAACTTCGTGCGGATGCCTTTTTATAGATCCCCTGGACTACAGTAAACTGTCTAAGTGTGAAAATATGTTCTTCAACATTGATATGAGCGTCTAGAATGTGTCACTTCAAGCAAAGACCACTGATCAAATCCTCGACACGGCCGTAACAGTCTGAACCTTAATTTGTGCCCTAGACGCCTGTTAAGGCCCGTTGTGGATCTATAAGCTACACGAAGCTACGTATCACTAAAATGTGATTCTGTAACTTAAAAACAAACATTCGGGAAGTATCAAATTGATTATACTTTTCCAACTTTCCCGAAACGTGTGTGGGAGGATTTTGTGACTACTCTTGACCATGGGAGGCTCCAAATAGACGAGATATGACATCTAAACATCATAATGATCAACAGACGTGTCCTGTATCAAAACGGATGTCATTTAAATACATCTCTCCCGAGTAGGGCTGAATCGACACCAATCCTAGTTTCGTGCTCAAAACATGCACCGAGAAGTTCTATTGGATGTCTAAGGCTACAAAAGACTAAACACAGTCTCGTATCATTCAAGTGGATGCCACACACATGTGACATCAAAATGTGATGGCAACTCCGTGAACTTACCGGTGGAGGTTGGTCGGAGATGTTGGACCGATAGTTTGAGGGAGGGGAAGGGATTGCTAATGTGATTTGATCTTTCGAGAGTGCAAGGGAGCAAACTGAAGATGCGTGAATGAGGTTTTATCGAGTTGTAAGGGGTTTAGGGTACTCGCATTAAAATTTTCGTCGCTTTCAAGTTAATAGTGTCAACATTTCAGACGCAAAAATGTTTTCTGTGAAGATAAATTTGACGCTACGAGTTAGTGTCCATTTTTTCCACCACAAAATTTTGCAGCAAACACATTCATATCACGTTGCTAACTTTTCGTGAACAAATCATATATGTATGAAGCTAATTCACCTATTTTCTGTGATGAAATGAGCTAGTGTTGGCCAAGAATAGTCGACGATAGCCGACGAGCGGTGGTCGATACTGTTTGTTGGCGACGAGCAAAAAGCATTTGTCGAATCTTTGGTGTAAAACACGGGACTTCAACTCCTCTCAATTCTCCTCCAAGCTCAGGTTTTCATCCACTTTCTTGAAGGGGACGAGACTCTATTTATATAGTCTAGGAGAGACCTCCCGACAAATAAGAATAATATCATGACCACGTCATCAGACGACCAGAGATATCTCCTTGATCGGATGATGTTCTGCGGACATTTGAGTGCTTTAATGGTGTTAGAATTTGGCGATCTTGAGCTCGTTGGATTTGTTATATTGAGATGCTTTATTTGATTATAAACTTGCTAGATTTTGAATCTATTTGACTTTTCAATTGAGCGCTACAAACTTTCAAAATAGTTTATTGACTCGATCTTCACCTGATTTGACTTGAATTTGGTCAATGTTGGTGCCCATGCGTTCGTCTCTTCAAGCCGATGCTGAAACTATAAATCTAGAAAATTTTTAATGTGTATTTAAACATTTTTTGTTTTAAAAACTATCTTGAGACTCGTGCTGCCCCTCCCTATGAAAAATTTGTTGATGGCGTATAATTTCCATAGTCCTATTTGGGATTCAGAAGGGTTTGATATCGCTAAGTTTTGGAAATGAAAAAGCAACCAGGAATGGGATATTATCACAAAATAGTTTTGTTTAGGCATTTCGCATTGGATGGCAGCTTCTCACTTGCTACAATCTGCACATCCTCCTTGATGCGTGCTAGAAAATTCGCGGCGGTAGAGTAATGGATTATCGTCTTAGCGTTGCACGAAAATTCAGCACACACCCAGATTTTTGCGTTTTAAATTAAAACATCATATTTTCTGACCTTTTTTGCTTCTTTTTATATCATAACTCCAGTATGCTCCTACCCCTAATTACTATTATTTTCTTGATCCTTTTAAAAATGTGTCCTTTACTCTAAAAAATGAAAGGTCTGATAATAAAGTTCTGCATCATTTGATGCCCATTTTTGCTCTCTTAGTCTGAGCCGTTACTTTTTGGCGAGGAGCGACTTAGGGTCCGTTTGAGGCAGCTTATTTGGTGCGGTGACGTTTTGAAAACTCCTCTGATCTGTTTGGGTAAATTACGTTTTTGCAGCTTATGCGTTTTCAAAATGCTGAAAACAGCGTTTTCACACCGCACCTATCTAGGTGCGGTGGCAGTTTTCTGGCAACGGTTTGGTTTTTCCAAGAAAATAAAAATTTGTAATAGTCACAACATCTAGCTTATCAGCAGATTATTTAATAAGCTGCAGCTGCCCCAAAAAAGCCCTAAACCTACTATTATCCAATAATTCAAGACAATCAGTTCTGGGGAACACCAACGAAGATTTGTAACAGACCACTTGTGCGGTAAATGGACCAATGCATTTGATGGACAATTCAAATTAGGTTTGATTGAGACTGCATCATGTTCATTCAAATTAATAAATAAATAAATTTGAATAATTTTTAGATGTTTAGAATTTAAATGAACTAAACATGAACATGAGCAACCTTGAACTTGTTCATTTATGTTCACGAACAAACTTATTTGTTGTTCAGCAAGTATCTCGTCACATACTTGAACTTAAGCTCGATGAGAACTTGTATCACATATAATATATTATTTAAATAAAATTTAATGAAGTTTAATTTATTTTATTGTTTATTTATTTTATTAAATTTTAGGTGTTATATGTAAAAATACATTAGAATTATGTGGTGTGTATGAAATGCCCAATAAAATTAATTTTAAACCTCGCAAACCTCACTTTTACTCTGACCTCTGACAGTTTCGCGCCTTTGGGTTTCACCCGAAACTTACAAAATATTGAATTATTAGGGATGCAAGCATTGAAGACAACGATGAGATCATGTTGTATAAGGATCTCTGAAATTCTTATCTCTCGTATATCTTTACTTTTCACACTGCTAATAAATCCTACGGATTAAAAAGTGATGCTAAGAGAGTGCAATACAATCATTGTAAGTTATATATGTTTAAAAATAAGGATGGCGCAACAACTCAATCTAAAAGACATATCTTATAATGTCTAGAACAACTAGAAAAATGACAAGTGGATATAACTATGAGAAAACCAACACTTACATCTGAATGTGAGAGTTCGGTGCAAACATGAAAGTATTATCATGATAAAATATGAGAGATTACAATTCAAATGATCACGGCATTGATAATTTAATAGGTTAGATCAGAAATTGTAAATTTATTTATTAAATTTTTTATATAAAAGCTATATACTTTGTGAATTTTTAGTTTGTTTATTAATTTGTTTGAATACTCGTTCACTTTTCATAAACAAATGGGTACAAAAGTCCAAAAAGAAAAAAAAAAGAAAAAAAAGAAGAAATTTATTCATTCTTTTCATAATCCCAGCCAAACATTAACTTCATTTAAACCTCAATAATGCTATTAATTTACATAATCTTAGAACAAAAAATTAATTAAAATGCATTATATAATTCGTAATATTGAATACTGCTAAATTT